TCAGATTAAACAAAATATAAGCATTTTGGACACGGGGATGTGCTTTTGTTTGTCCAAAAAAAAAAAAAAAAAAAAATTGAGTGGAGTTTTTTTTTTAATTTTTTTTTTTTTTTATCTCCAAATACTGTTTCAGCAATGGTGGCAGCATTATGCTATGGGGATATTTTTTCAGAAAATGAGACTGGTAATCTGGTTAAAAAGCATAACAGCATATTCAGATTTTGCAAAAAAATCATCAATCTGCTGAAGAAACTAGTGCATCAGTAGACCTTCCAATAAGAAAGTGACCAAAGTTGTCAAACATGTCAAAGTTGGTCAAGAAGTGGTTCATTATTTGATAAAATGTTATATGGTAGCCAAACCACAGTTTGAGCATTAATCCAATTGTGAATTAAATAGAGAGAGCTGAAGGCAGAAGTAATGGCAAGGAAGTTTTTCAGCTTTAAAAACCTGGTGACCTTAGCAAAAGGAATAGTTTTATCTCTTTTGAACAGAAGTAGAGGTTTACCTCTTGTTCCCTGTCTAGGTTCCTTCTAAAGTCTATTTCAACTCTATTCTTCTAATTTTTCCATCTGAACCCTGAAATTTTATTTACTAATTACATTTTCTTTTCTTTTCTTTTCTTTTTTTTTTTTCTCATCAATAGTAGATAGATATTTGCATGTTATCTGGTTCACACTCTTCCCTGATCTTTTGAACATGGATACAGGTTTATCCCTTGTTCCCTGTTTAGGATTGGGGTTTTCAGTTCCTTCTCAAATCTTTTCCTTTTTTTTTTCACTTCAAGAAACCCCTTTCATCTTAGTGACATTTTTACCTTGCTTGGAACAAATTGATTATAAAAAAAAAAGAACTGTTGAGACTTGTTGGAATCTGGTAATGAAGTATGAGAATCAGTTACAGGCTGTGATAAGAAAGAAAGCCTTGACAGTTGTTTATAAAGATATGGGTATGAATAATTTTGAATAAGCTTTTTGCAATCATATTGTAAATAATGAATGAAATAGAATTTTTCTCTATATTCCTCACATGTTTTTTTTCACTCTTTTTTTCTTTATATGTTAATTAGGAGCAGAAAAAATTCTTTTAATGAAAACATTTTTTTTTAAAAACATTTTTAAGAGGTATGAATAATTTGGGCCTTAAATGTATAATAATATATATGGATATTTCCATATCAACTCAACCAAAAGTTCCATGCTCACCATTTCAGGTTTTGATGACATTTCACTGTGATCTCCACCTGAGAAAAATAGAAAAGTTAAAAATAAAATCTGCATTAGAATGTCCTTCACAAATTTATATATGCATGCATTAAAAGTTTTTCTCTTAAAACCCAAAATATATATCAAATATCACACTGCATACATTCATTGAATATGTATTTTTCCTTTCACTCAATCATCCACACAAACATCAGTATATTCTGTTTATATACATGCATTTCATATATATATATATATATATATATATATATATATATATATACACACACACACACACACACCATCACAAGACTTTTCCCATGAGATGTAGCAAAAATGTTTTGACTTACAATTATGATCCTTTCATGGTATATTAGATTAATTAGTGACTTGAAATTTTTATACTGTGAAATTGCTCCATCAATGAAATATTTTATGTTGCTGATATGTGAATAGTTCTTAGCATTAAATTAAGAAAACACTGACCTGCAAGTTGATGCACATGACAGGAATTAACCAATGAATGATGTCAAGGTTTTAAAATGTTACATGTTATTTTTTGTTCCTATGTTGCAATGGTGAAGAAGTTAAAATGTGCTATTATTAGTAAGCACAAAAGCACCTCTCAAGGGTATAAGGCCATTTCCAAGGATTCTTGGTATCCTTGTTTCTAGTGTACAATGTTATTAAGAAGTTTGTTATGCATGGAACTATCAAGAACCTCTCTGGATGTGGGAGTAAAAGGAAAATTGATGTGAGAAGTCTTCGAAGGTTGGTGCAAACCATGGAAAAAACACCACATAAAACATTCAAAGACCTGAAAGACAACTTGAAACAATCTGGGGTAATTGTTTCATCATGTACTATACAGTGCAGGGTTTACGGGCAAAGGCCAAGGAAAACACCATTACTGAAGAAAAAGCCTGAAAAGGAATGACTGAGCTTTGCCAAATAGTACCTGGACAATATTCTGTATACAGATTAAATAACAATATAGCATTTTGGGCAATGCACACCAACAATACGTTTACAGAAAGCAAAATGAATCTTATAAGGAAAAGAATATCCTACCAACAGATAAGCATGTTGGAGAATCTCTAATGTTGTGGGGCTGCGTTGCTGTATCTGGTACAGGAATAATGAAATCTGAAGCTTACCAATGGATTTTAGAGCAAAATGTGCTACCTAGTGTAAGAAAACTCAGTTTGAGTTGAAGATGATGGGTAAGGACACAAATCACAGGCTCAAAAGCACAGAGGAATTATTGAAAAGGAAGAAATGGAAGGTTTTGAATGAAGAAATGAGTCCTGATTTCAATTCCATTGAAAATCTATGGTGTCAGCTGAAATCTACCATTGGGACAGGAATGTTGCAAACATTCAAGGCTTTGAACAAATTGCAAAGGAAGAGTAGGAGAAAATACCAGCTGAGAAGTGCAAGAAACTTATAGATGGCTACCAGAAATGTTTGAAGGCAGTGAGTGCTGCCAAAATAAGTACAACCACATATTAAGGAAGGGTGCCTTTTTTTATTGTCCATATCATTTTTTCTTTTTCCACTTTGAAATTACAACATGTAAGTTGAAAAAATATTTTTATTAAATTATTTTGAACAATAAAAGATTCTGATGATATAAATTTTTTTTTCACTTATTCCTGAAGATATAGCAAAAAATGAAAGGGGGCCAATAATGATGATCAGAACTGTATATATTGGGATGGAATCGATAAAACCAAATAAAATTCATTGTAACATGAATGTCAAGGGTGAATACTGTATCCAGTTTTAATTTTTAATCAAAATAATTTTCTAGGCTATATCAGTTTTTGGAGTAATTTTACCAAGTTAGACATAAATTGTAATCGTTTCATTTTTACGAGGGCAATATAATAGATGAAATTATAATTCAACAAAATTTGAATCATGAAAGTAACTGTCTGTGCTACTTTTCATGCAGTTAAAGAACAGCAAAAATGTGAGATTTTACCATGTTGTTTCTAGATTTTTATCAACCAGGAATTATTTAATTCTTGTAAACACAATATTTTAAAGTTTTACACAAGTTAATCTATTAAATGAATATAAAAAAGTTGAATTTTTATTTTACTGCACTTGGTTTGGTTTTTAGGTGGCAAGATACTCACTAAAAAAAATGCAAAATAGCCATTTTCCTTATTTTTAAAGGCCTATTATGAAAATACATAAAACAGAAATCAGGAACACTTAATTTTAGCCAGATATCTTTTCATGGACACTAGACACAAAAATCCAAGCAAGTTTTAACAGGGCATAACTCTTGAACTGTGGGGTCAAATGAAGTTTCTATTTTCAAATTTTCCATTTCTATTAAGTGGGGATCACATGGCAAAGTTTCATCAAAACCTGAGATGGTGAGCATGGAGCTATTGCTTAAGTTGATATGGAATGACTCCTATAACCTTGACATTTATGTGGTTGGTTGGATGAAAGTGAAAATACCTATTCAATGAATGTATGTATTTGTTATATATTTGTCTTTTAAGAGAAAATACTAATGTATGTAGATATAAATATATGAAGTTGAGTCTAAAGCATATTCTTGGTAGTAATCCAAATTCAATTGAAGGAATAAGAGAACACAATTAACTTGTAGGAGTTTTATGTGTTTATTTAATGTCAAAATAAACTGTGATGGTTAAGGATTCAGTTATGACCTATATACTGTGCACAAGAGAATATGTGAATTTTATTTATTTAATGTTTGATATATCCTTGTTTGATTCAGCTAACTTGTTTCCTATGCTCTGAGCACTGCATGAATAAATTCATAAACAACACATAACTATTTATCTATGGTAGATGATCTGATTAGAATATTCAATGTGTATTTGATGAGTAGAATATTGTATGTATATATATGACAAGAAAGAGAACATATAAAAAATGTGAGAAGTCAGTTGCTTAAGGTTTAAACTTACCTTCTTATCAAATATTTTTATATTATTGAATTTATTTTTTTATTTTTGTTGTTGTTGATGCACTAAGAAATAATTTATTTTGCTTTTCCCAGACACAACTGTGTTTGAGAAAGAAACAAAGGAACCAGAACTAAGAGAAATAATACCAAGTATTATTTTCTTTTCTTCCCTAATTTCATCAAAATATCATTTCATTATTTATAAATGAAATTCATCTTGAGAACCTCTGTTACTTTTTATGATATGGGATTTACCTCCAAAAGTAACAACTACATGGGATTTACCTCCAAAAGTAACAACTTAAATTTAAAATTAGCCTAAAATTTTTGTTACTTCCAGATTAAAAAAAATAATAAATAAAGACACTTTTAGCTTCCTTTAGTTTTTAGGTGATCATTATTAAATGCTTATGGAATGTGAAATTTTTCTCTATTCATTTTGTAATTTCAAAATTAACTTCACCTCAGGATAAACCATTTATTTTTTGCAATATATAATGTTTAATATAGATAATGAGATTAAATATTTCATTGGCTATTTCTTGCACACTACAACTAACAGCAGCAAGTAATGCTGTGGTTGGAATAGATTTTGCAACCATTATTAGCACATAAGTTATAATATGATTTAAAGTGAGTTAAAAACTGATGATTATTGAAACATTTACTACATTTTATTAAATATAAAATAGGAAATCAGTTTTTTTAAATAAATACTTGAACATATATCTTCATTGTTTAATATTTGAAGCTAAGCTAAAATTATACTGATGTTTATTTTTTAAATTTTGATATAATTAGCATATCTTTATTGAATTCTTTTTCTTATTCAATTTTAGGTCGTAGCAAGTCTACTGCTTCCTCTTCATCTGATGGTGGTGATATTGAAATTGGTGATCGACTTATTGTGGCAGGACAGAGAAAAGGAACTGTACGATTCTCTGGAGAGACACAGTTTGCATTAGGTGATTAAGAATTTCCACTGAGTATTCAAAATTTGCAATTCCTGAAAAATTCTGCAGTATAAAATCATTGAAACTGAAAGCTTCTCTTGATTAACTGATAATAGTTTACAGTTATGGAAATGTGTGTGTGAGACAATATATTTAACTGTTGTATCTGAAAGAAAATCCTGCTTTCAATGTTTATGTATGCAGAAAAAGAATAAAAGGGTTAAATTCATATTTGATGCCCATGTTAAGCTGTAGAGATTAAAGAGGAGCCATTAATTCTCATAATGATTATAAACAGAGAAAATTAATTGGTTAATATGTGAATGCATAAACATGATATAAAGATTATATAGACATGTATGTATTTGCATAAATGTGCACATAAATATATGAAAACGTGAGAGGAACATTATATAAATCTTGATTAAGTTTGTGTGTGTATAAAATTGATTTTTTTATATATATATATATATATATATATATATATATATATATGGAACTTGTGATGAATGATTTTTTTAATGTTTGCACAATACATTATAAAAGCCATAACAATAAGCGCTTTAAAGAAATATATCAAGATATGATAAGTAGATTAATTTTGTGCATTCTGTTATAAATTTTCAGAATTATAAACAAATATAAAAATCAGCAATATTAGAGAATCTAAGAGCCAACATTTTCTTATACTTCATATTATTTAATTATATAAGATATATTTGGATTATAATTTACTCAAAGTGATTAAATGTTAAGTTTGTGGATTTTAATTGTTCTATAATTTCTCTACTTTTATAAACCATTATTATAAGCTAAGAATGTAACATGAATTTATGAATATCCTTCTGGAATTTGTTGGTTAATAGATTTAGCCAACTGGTATTTTTATCTTGAAAATTTGGTAAAAAAACTGTTTTGTATCAATAGGAATTGGTTGTTGTTCAGGTGAAGTGCTGAATAACCAATATGCTGCATTGTCATTGGACTAATGAATTGCTGTAGGAAGTGAGCAAAGTGTAAAGTCAGTTCAGTCAGTTCACTGCCCACTTTAGGTTTGAACCTAAAGGGGGCAGTGGAAATTGAAAATATTGTATGTGGCACTTGGAGTTGAAATTCCTGGTTTCAAAGTAGAAAAGTTGTGAAAAGAAATTAATTTGTGAATGTGAAAAGGCTTTGATTGGTTGGGTGCCTCAGAACATTGGATACAAAGATGAGGAAAAAGAAACTAAGTGTTTATTTTATTTTCATATTTATGAACTGAAAAGTAGATTTATTTCCATGTTATTTTGATATCTGCTTTTGAATTTTATTTTCATAAAAACTTATTACTTTTTCTTTGATGCAGACATTTAATTCTTTACTTTCATTTGTGTGCACACAATATTACAAGTTTCTCTTTTTATATGAAATTTTTGGATTTACAAGACAAAAATGTTTTTCTCTTTAAATAAACTGATATTTATATTCTTCATAGAACTGAAAATAAATTATTTAAAATTCATTTAAAAGATTAAATGATATTTAAATAATTTCCTTACATTTCTTTTCCACTATTAGCAATAAAAATATTTACTTTAAATGTTTCCAAAGTTCTTATTCTCTCTTCCATAAATTTTCAGGATGGTGGTATGGAGTAGAACTTGATCGCCCTGTGGGCAAGAATGATGGGTCTGTCAATGGGATCCGTTACTTCACATGTAAGTCAAAATATGGGGTGTTTGCACCACCCTCAAGAGTTCAGAAGTAAGTGATTTTTGTTTCATCATTGTTGTTTTCATTCATTGAATAAAAGTAATTTATTAACCTTTAGCTGTGAATATAAAATATAATCAATGTACTAATAGTACCATATAAGTCAAATGTAGACATGATCTATAAATTATGATGAATATTATAGAAATACTCTGTAATCTAATATATTCAAACTTTAATGATATGTATATTTTAAAAAGTAATGCTGAATAGCACAAAGAGTAACATCTGTGTACCATGAATGGGAATTCATTGGAGGAAGTGTCCAGTTTTAAATACTTGGGAGCAATCTTGTCTAAAGATGGTACCTGCAACTTGGAAATTTGCACATGGATTGCTGCAGCCATGACAGCAATGGCCAAATTGGCAAGAATATGAAGGAGCAAAATCAGCTTTCAAATGAAGTACAGACTGTACAAATTGCTGGTAGTCTCCATTTTCCTATATGGATGTTAAACACGGACACTGTTGGCAGAATCAGAGAGAAGGACCCAAGTGTTTGAGAACAAATGCATGAGAAAACTCCTTGGAATCTTCTATTGGGAACATTAACCTAATGTGTTTGTGTGGAAAAGGGTTGAAAGTTTTGTGGGCCACCAGGAACCTCTTCTCGCCACTGTCAAATGGAGAAAAATGGTGTGGTTTGATTATGTGACAAGGCATAATAGTCTATGCAAGACCATCATGCAAGGCACCATTGAATATGGACGTAGGAGAGGATGTGAATGCAAAAACTGGTTGGATAATGATAGACTGGTTGCCGTTGATAGACTTGTGGAGGAGATTCAGTGTGGCTTCTGCATTTGGATCCCCTCTATGATTACAAAAGTCAAGGGGATGATGAGGTCTTAAAAACATTTCAAAATTGTATGGATTAAATTATAATTTAATCCATACAATTTTGAAATGTTTAAATTAAAATTCTGTGAAGAACATTTCAGTTTTTAAATCTTAATTTCTTTTGTTTCATTTTATTTTATTTTATTTTTTTTTTTTTTGAAGACTTGGAGAGAAGAAATTTAGCTCATCTGAATCTTTGGATACAATTAATTGGGGGGCTGTTTCAGAAAAAAATGAGAAGCGGTCATCAAGTAAGTTTAAAATTCATAATTTCAATAGATTTTTTTCTAAATTCATGAGTTCTCTCTATACCAATATTTTTTCTCCTTCACTTTTTATTGATATGTTATATGAATACTATAGAAATAATGGAATATGGATTACAGCTGGTATAAATTTTCTAATACTCCTTGTTTACTTTATTAGTGCAGAAATACATCTCAAAAAATATTTTTAGTCTCTCTTTCTCACTGGTCACTCAATAACTTTAGTGACAAAGTCTAATAACACTATTACTATGGCAGGCAAAATAAAGTTATTATGAAAATGATAAATATAATATAGCTTAATATAACATAAGTTCAGAATAAGATGCTTTGAGGGATATTGTTAATCCTATAAAGATCAAAGAATGATGTGGCTTAATGCCAGAAAGTGGCACAATCTAGAGCAGTGGTTTCCAAATGGTGTGGCATGCCTCATAAGTATGACAGAAGATAGCAGGTGGGGTGGAATGATTGAAAAAAAAAAATTCATATACCAAAAATAAATATGATTTCAAAATTTAAAATATTATTATGGATTAATTGTAATTGCATGCATAAATCCCAGTAAAAATAATTATAAATAATTATTTCCTGATTTTATCATAGTGATATTTTTGCATTATATCTAGTATTAAGAATATGGTAAATAAGATCTGCAAATTGGAGAAGAGAAAGTTATCACTGATAATGTTACTTGGAATCCACAGTTTAACCCCCTCTATGTATTTTATTTTTAAATGTACTTTTTATCACATAAAATTTGAGGCATAAGCAAATTTTAATTCTGAAAATGCAGGCCAGAGAAAAAAAATGTCTTCCCTTTAAATTTAAAAATGTTTTGCTTATATTTCTTTTAGGTAGTAGTAGTAGTAGTAGAATACGAACTCCAACAAAACAGTGAGTATATTCTTTTTTACTTAAAATTTGAAAAAAATTTAATATTACAACAATATAATATTTAAATAAAATATTTAAAGAAAAATATAAGAGATCTAGAAATATACATATCTTTTTTTTTTTTAATTCATAATAACTTTTTACATTCTTTTTTCTTGTAACAGATTTTAGTTTGGAAATTTAACAATGTTTTTCTGGTTTCTTAAAAAATTTCTCTTCTTTAATTTGTTTGCTTTAAAATGACAAAAGTTATTGCTATAAAAAAAGAAAACCTAGCAGTATGTATGTAAACATTTGAGAAAAATTCTTATTGAATGTAAAGATTTTTCTTTTTAAATAATTTCTGTCTTCATTTCAAGGAAATCAACAATAGCTTATTAGCACTATTTTGATTTTTAGGATGAAAAATGCAAGCCCCAAAATTGCTCGTGTTCCGGGTGCTAGTTCTGACCTTAAGCTAGAAGTAGGAATGGGAGTTTTTTGTAATAATGAGTTAGGTAAGTAAGTCATTAATTCTTTGTTCATTTGATGTTGTCTTTGAAATAAATAACTATAAATGTATATTGATTTTGAAAACCTTTTTTTAATTATAAAATAATTCAATTTCCCAAGTGCAACATTTTTGTGGAATAATTGATCAGGTGTTTATTGAAAGGTTTTTGATAATTTAGCTACACAATGATTAATTCATTTGTTATCACATAGTGAACTCCTAATTATGGGTTAAATGACAGGGTACACTGGTCTCTTAGCCATATGTGACAGTCAATCTAAGAGAAAGAAAACTCTGAATTCAAAACTGGAGATGGCAGTAGGAAACTATTGTACTTTCTCAAAAGGTCATGGCAATTCACAGATATTAAAAAGAAAAGGAAACTGTGATGAGCTATAACTGCTTGTGCTCTGAACGGACATGGTATTAAAAACCTGAAGTTTTCCTATTATGTTTCATGAACTAAAATATGTATTGATAGATTAAAAACTGAACCTAATTTTGAATTGATTATTATTGAGAATAAAATTTAATAGCTTATGCACACACACACACAGATGATAGAAATGAATTTAACTTCCTAAAGAAATAATATTTTAAGATTAAGAAATTTAAATATTTTAAGTTGAGCTGATCTCTAAGGAGATAGGTTCACATATTTATACATCCCTGAATTTTTCATCAAGGAGATGACGATTTTCTAAGCATAGCTTAGAAAATCGTCACAATGCTGAAAGTATGGGTCACCCAGTGAGGGTCAGACTCACTACTCAACTGTAATTTATTTTGCAAGACAAGCTTACTAACAATTACACCACATTAAGATGCCCATTTCTCATGAAAGAGATGGCTTCAAATAAAATAAATCTAAGCCTCGTCTCATTTTATATAACCAGGATAGAGTTTAAACATACTGTCATCAACAAAACCAGCAACAGATTCTTTAGGTACAAAAAAAACTAATCTTACATAGTTAATTTTTGTTTGATCAATGGTGTAAATTGGAGTGAGTTGAATTTCACTGATATTTTTTTATATTATTTCATTGAAACTTGTAAAACATTCATCATGATTATTTCCATATCAGCACTCCAGATAGACTAACTTTTTCTTTAGGTTAAGACAAATTAAAACATATTACATAAAAAATAAAATATTTAAGATGTATGAAAGAGTTTCTTAATCCATTAAAGTTAAGATTTTGTGATGAGAAACAAAATCAAACTTTTATTTCATTTCAAATTATATTCCTCTGGTGAAATATAAATTGATGAGATGAGTTAGAATTTCATTACTTTAACAAATACTTTTTAAAAAAAAGTATTAATTAAATTGAAATAAGCAGAAGAATTACTTTGTAACTATGTTAAAATCTGTGTTATTTATCTTGCAACTGCTTGCCACTTTCTAAGCTGTAGTGTTTCTTTATTTGTTATTCTGTAACTAGAAGGGCTGCTTTTATAAAAATAAACTATTTCTCCAGTCAGATGCCATGGAATTTACCATTTAAAAGTTTGTGAACCAATGTTTTTCTGAAAATACCATTTTTAAATAACAAGGGCTTTACAATGAAGGATCATATTTACTCTGTTTAGTTTTATTTTTTTAAACAAATTTGAAACAAATCATTAAATAATTTAAACTTGTTTTTGATACACACACACACACACACACACACACTGCATTTCATGTATAATTCACACCCTTATGTAATGCACTCTCCCCAAATAAAAACAAAGTACTTCAAATGTTTTAATGGAAGAAACAAAAAATTATAAAATTAAATCTCAAAGAAAAAAATGAAAATAGGAAGTTTAATTTTAAAAAGTGTGCATTACATGATGGGAAATCCAATATATAGATATTTACACATTCACATTAAAAATAAGTAATTTTATACCCTTATAGGTGTTATTCGATACATTGGATCAACAGATTTTGCTGATGGAATTTGGATTGGAGTTGAACTTCGAACTGCAAAAGGGAAGAATGATGGCAGTGTGATGGACAAGCGTTACTTTTTATGCAAGCCAAACCATGGTTTATTGGTGCGACCAAGTAAAATCACTGTACGAGGAATAAATGGGGCCAAACTTATGGGTGACACCTTATCAGAGAAAGAAAACAGCATTAATGGGGATGTAAAGGAAAAATAAAAAAGAAATAAGGTTTCAGTTTTCAACAGTTGTGAATCTTTTACTGCCCAGTGATTTATTCTTCATGGTGGTTATTTTTCTTTATTGTTTTCAACACAAAAGCTTTTAATTCCAGTGTTTCTTTTATGTTGTATTTTTTAAAATTGGAGCTTTTTGAGGTTGCAGCAAATATGAAACCAAACTTTAAACTTTTATTCTTACTAAAAAACAAATAAACACAATTTAAAATAAAGGCAGAAAATACAATTCATTCCAGTTACAAACCAGATTAACTGTATTATACTAGAATGGAAATTCTTCCTGGGATTCATTTATAGAAAGATTTTGAGAATTATTTGTTTTCTGCATTAAAGAAACAATTATTATTTTAAGTTTTTAAAAATGCATATCTAGACTAAAAGATCAGTTAAAAATATGTTTTATATTGTGTCCTTATGGATAATAGCATAATTTTAATTAATATTTATTTTACTGCTTTAAGTCCTTGCTCTGGATGCTATTCTACTGTAGTTATAGTTGCTGTTAGCAGAGAGTATGAAGAAATCAGTGATCAGGATATCTGTTGTTCAAATAAACAACTGGGTAGCAATAATATTTCATCTCAAGAATATAGAAACTAATCAATACTGATGTCCTTCTTGGAAAAAAAAACAAAGGCAGAAAGCAAATTAAAAAATTCATACAAAAATGGTAAAGAGAATCTAAGCAATGAAAAACAGAAAAATCTGATAAATCATATCAACTTGAATTGTTTTCATGTCATAGTGACATCAAATTAAATTGTTTTTGTTCAATTCTATTCTGTTGTTTTGCATTTTGTTTTTTTTCTCTTGAATTTTTAAAATTCATCATATGTATTTATATATATATATATATATATATATATATATATATATATATATATACATGCAGAGAGAAATAAAGAGAAAGAAAAAAAAGAGTGCAAATTTATCATGATATTGAAAAAGAAAGCTAATAGAACATTATTATTATTTTTGGCTAGCTTCTCTTTCATCTTATTTCTGTTACTTTTTATCACAATTCTCAGATTGTTATTCTCAGACTAGTGTGAATCAGAAATAAAGAATAAGCCTTCATTGATATTGTCCCCATTCTTGTTGGAAGCCTGTCTTATCATGATTAGCATATTTACCATTTTGGCTGCAAAGGATTTCACCAGTAATGACAATATTTAATTTAAGAAATTCATAGAGTGTTACATTTAATGTTATTGTTCATAAATAACTTGACAGTGGAGTAACAATTGAAGAGTAATGGATATAGCTATATGGTTTATTTGAATGATGCTTTGCTTTCACTCAAACCATATAGCTATAGTTTTATGTTCTACCAACCACCACTATTATTTTGTGCAAATACTTTGTGAATGATAAAAACCGTAAATTTTCATGCCTCATGATGTGGGTGTGCTGAAAAAGTGTATATTTGCTTCTTTTGATCCTCCTACAATAGTTGAGCATCTGATTCCCTTTTGGGCTCTGGTTCTATTCATATTTGTATAGAGATTAAAGTTGATCTTGTCTCTATAAACTATAGGCAGGCTTTGTGAATGCTATGCAAGCAGTGATCTGACATATTCTTATATTTTTTCCTTTTTCACTTGCCCATTGCCAACTTCTGGTTTATAACGAACATGTTTTATAATATATCATAATAAAAGTCTAGTGTTTGCAGATGGATTCTTTAGAAAGATCTATACTGAATCTGATTTTTCATTGGGTTAGCTTCAATTAATCCAGCAAAATATTCTGAATGAATCTGCATCACTTTGGTAAATCTGTGAGCTCTTTGAAAGTCTTCTTGGCATCCTTGCTTCACTCATTGATAGGCAGTTGTTTTTTTTAACCCCCAAACAATCCACTAATTCCATCTCCTTTGTAAACCACTCTAACCATGGCATTGATGCATTCCTTTGAAATTTTCTTGATGTAAGTTCCTTGTAGCATGTTTAAATATTCACTCAGATGAAGAGATTATTCTACCATTTTTATTTTAAAGATCTCATATTTATAACAATAAAATGAAATTCTCAGTTCATATTCAGGTTTTCTCAATTTGTAGTTGAAAAGGTAGAGCTATCGTATTTGTTCTACTGAGAAACTCTAACTTGTTATTAAAAAATTCCTACTTGAACAGGATTTGCAATGTGCCTTCAAGTCAAAAGAGCTCTGGTAATGATATGCAATGTTCTGCAATTATTGTTTAAGCTTTTGGCCTACAATAATTGTGACCTTGTATTAATTTATCCACACACACGTAAAAATATATGGGTTGCTTTGCTTGCCTTGAGACAAAATTTCATCTTTTTAGTATACTGTCTGTTTTTAAATTGAATTCTAATTTGTTTTTTTCCTATTTAATAAATTTATTTTTATAGATTTAATAATTTACTTATACTTCTGTCCCATAATAGTTGTTACATTTGCATACAAATTTCATACAATAAATCTAAGAAGTGGTCAATTTTTTGGTAGGCAATTCATATATAACATATGCCTAAGCACCTAATTCTTTTTACATGATGGAATAATGGCTTTCATTTAAAAATTTTAATTAATATAAATGAAAAAAATGGAAAAGAAAAAAGAAGTAATCATTAGAGAAATGGAAAAAGTTGTGCATTTATTAGATTTTACAAATTACTGATAATACATTGATAAATTAAAGTGTTTAATTTGAATACGTCATCAGAACATAAAATTTTATTATACATTGATTTCTTTGTAGTAGTTTCTTTATTGCCGCAATATTTGGGTTAACATATTTTCCAAATTTTCTTTTCTCTGGTGTTTGCTACTTTGGTAACATGATTAAGTTGCGAGTTCAATTCCTGAGTCAGGTCATGCAGAAAGATATATACACCAGCTCAGCAGGGAAGCAGGCCAGCACCATAAAGAAAAATTGGAAAACTCTGAAGAATTTCTTCACAATGACAGGACAGATATAAAAATGAGAACAGCATATTGCCATCAACTGAAAGAGCTGCATTCAATATTCCCAGAAAGTTTAGGGAAATGACAATGAAACTGGTTCAAATAGATGAATAATAGAAATAATGCTTTGTTTCAGAAATTCAAACAAAAATGTTGCATTATGCTGCAATAACAGTGATATATTTTTGTTTTGTAGAAAACTCTTATGCTACAAAACTTTTAAGAATAAATTACAATATTTGAAAGTAAATTTGTATTATGAATAAAGATCTGAGAATAAAATTTCTGTTGTATTACTTCCCCTCAATCTGATTCATTTAGTAATAAAACTGATTCCCATATATATTTTAATAGCTGGACATACTTGCTTCATAAAATATACCTTAAACAAACTAGATTAAATTATTCCAATTAATGGTATAATTTTTTCCGAGGCCATGTGGAGGAAAATATGGAATAACCTAATATCAATGAAAAATTATGAATTTCAAAAATTAGAATTAGTTGCCCCCATCTCATTCTTTTATGACAGCCTTAATTCTTTCAGGCATTTCACTATTTTAAAGCAATAATATCCAAATGGTTCAAACTTTCCAAAATGATGATTAATAACTCTTTGGTGGACCATTTTTAAAAATTTCAACCATAAATTTTCAATTGGATCTGGATTGTTTGCTGGCCATGTCATTGATTTTTATATGCCTTTCCTTTTTTATTCTTTTTGTTCTGTGACAAGATGCATTATCATTCTGAAAAATGACTTTATCATCACCAAAGCAATTTTCTATAGATGGAATGAGAAAATTATCCATTGTTGAGGTAATGATTGCCATCTCCCCTAATCCTTTAAATGACATGCAGCCCCATTTTATGAATGACTTAGGAAATTTGTTTTTCAATCCTTTCCATTATTTAAATTGACAATTCCTTTGTTGAAGGTAAGTTTCCTCTCAATAAGTATGTCCAACTACTTATGGTCTACAAGAACTATTTTAAATGTACACTAATTTGCATAACTAGGCTTTTGGTATTTTTAGGAATGCAAACCCATTTTTTTTTCTACAACATTGGGTTATTCCATATTTTTCTATACATGGTTTGTAAAAGAATTACAGCATTAATTTAAACTAGTGTAGATATAAATACAAACTAATAAGTATTTTTGGTAGGAGGCTTGGAGGCAATTATCTTCTTTATTTTCAAGACATAACGAAATGTGTTAACTCGAGAATAATTTGAATTTGTCACAAGTGAAGTATTAGATTTTGGGATGCTATTTGTTCATAATCAACTTTTGTGATGTAAAAATAGCTTACAAAATTACAAAAGGCTATTGAAATAAATAGTTATAATAATAATTAGTGTTAGTATTAAATTTTTCCATTTCACTAAAACAGATGTTAAAAATAGTGTTATTGCCTCCTCTATCTTCTCTTTTTCTCAGTGAAACCAAACAGCATCTCTGTTATGTTTTTTCTATCTTTCCTTGCAATACAAACAGGATAGTCCATTATTTATGAGGACATAACATGCGTGCTAACAAGCAGAATTATAATATGATAGCTTGCATATTTTATGAAGTCAGAATGTTCAACTATGTCTTATTGTTATTTATTTACTGCTGGATGATAAAAAAAAAACCTATGCAATCTTTTAAGTGGGCTAATTCAATAATTTTTGCTAGGGGTTGTATATGGAAGTATATATATATATATATATATATATATAGCATGTGTATCCTGTATCTTATGAATGGTTTTATGCATATATATTATTTATAAACGTACTCATTTAATGATAATAGTTTGGAGATGAAATGAAACCATTTAAAGCAATTTTCTTTGGGAATTTTCAAAATTATCTTTTTTATTTAAAAGTATCACATAATAAAATAGAAAAATGAAAGTTACTTCGGCTCGTGTTGGAATTGTGTAAGGGAGATAACTCATGACTAATAGCAGCAAATACCGAAATTATTTTCGTACACCCTAGTTTGTATTTAATTGGCACTAAGCTACCATTTATGCTAGAAATAAAAAAATTAAA